TATTACCGTAGGTCTCATGGTAAGACCTAAGCCCAGGACCGATTTACTTTTTCATTTTGATGTCCCCAGAGGCCAAAAACACCATTCGTTCAAATTTATATATATATATATATATATATATATATGTGTCCATCCGCACGATAACTTGAGTAATTTTTGTCCGATTTTGATAAATTTTGGTTTGAAGGTGTAAGGCGGGATAAACTTGAATGAGTTCGCGAACCAGCATGATCGGACTATGGGAACAGGGGTTTATGGGGGGTTGTATGGGGTAAAAATAGGGTTTTCCCATTTTCGACCCTAAAAACACAAAATTTCACAATTTATTTTTAAACCATTTTGTAGAGCTTAAAAAAACAAATAATTTAGTATATTGAAGCGTTGTTATGCGCCTAATTGTTACGGAGAAAATTCAAAAAAATTTTAATTTTAAAATTCCCATGTTATTCTTATGGAGAATAAGTCAACTGTTGTAGTTTACTTGTTTATGAACATATTTTGATCAAATTTGGAAAATACATTAATTTCTTACTTAACCACAGTACCTTTTAATATTTTACATTTAAAAAAAACTTTTTTACCCTCCCTGTTGCAGAAAACCTAAGTACTCATTAAACTAATTCTGTTAAAATAGGGAATAAATGTGATATTTTTAAGGAGATATTTTAGTTTAAATCCAATCAGGCAGATGGAAATTCGCTAAGTCTGCAGGTTTGCTGCGGCGGGGGTATTATTTCTGTCATGCTTGGGCTAAGACTTAGGACGATATTCCAAGATAGTAAGAACTGTAGCTAGAATTCTTGACTTCATTTGTCTAATAGCTCAAAATGTCACTAAGATTTGTGGTCTAACTGATAACAAAGCTTTGGAGCGTGTTATAACAAGTGAGAAGTATATTATAGCTGAAGTAATTTTATTGTGTTCTATCCAAATGATATCTTCTGCACTGAAAAAGGAATCAACACTTTGAAATCTCTAAACTATTTTGATTAAAATTATCGTGGTCTTATTCGCCTCAAGACACGATTAATGGAAGAAGACTCCCCGGATTTTGTATGTCCAGTGTTTCTCCCATCTTATCATCTCGTGGTTGATAGGTGATAGAGCATTTAAAGAATAATCATGCTGGAGTTCTGACATTGATTTTGATACTAAAGGAGAAATAGTCCAGGACCTGACTAGGGTTCTGTGTGCATGTCGTGTATAGAGATTTTTGCTTTTGCATTTCAATATAGGTGTCTTAGGAAGTGTTTTCCACTCGGGTGTCAAGTTCGTACCTAGTACGTTTTCGAGCTATGACGTCATCAAGATGGCGGCTCGGCAATTTTTAAATTTGTATATTTCGCAAACCGTTTAACGGATCGGGATGATTCTTTTTTTGTTTGAAAGATATTTTTACAAACTATCTTTTTTGTATTTACACATTTGTTGTAAACTTAAATATTCACCGCACAATATTGAAAAACGTCGTTTTTATTGTTATTATATTTATTGTTTTGCTTATAACTTCTTAACCGCTGATAAAATCAAATACCACCCGTTGTAAAAGTTGTAGATAATTCTATACCCTTTCCAATGATACCAAACAATATGTGATAAGACCTAAAATTAAAGCAAAGAGATTGAATAAACCGTAAAAAAAACACTGAAAGTGGTGTACGGTCCGGGAAATATTAGTCCTGGACATGACTAGGGTTCTGTGTGCATGTCGTGTATAGGGAATTTTGCTTTTGGATTTCAATATAGGTGTCTTAGGAAGTGTTTTCCACTCGGGTGTCAAGTCCGCGCCTGTTTCGTTTTCCAGCTATGACGTCATCAAAATGGCGGCTAGGGCAATTCTTAAATGCGTATAGTTCGCATACCGTTTAACGGATCGGGATGATTCTTTTTTTGTTTGAAAGATAATTTTTAAGCCTATCTTTTCTGTATTTACACTTTTGCTGTCAACTTAATATTTATCTCACTATATTAAAAAACGTGGTTTTTAATATCATTGTTTTTGAATTTTTCCTCATAACTTGTTAAACGCTTATAGAATGAAATAACTACCCATTACAAAAGTTGTTGATAATTTTATGCCCTTTCCAACGATATCAAACAATTAATGTTTGAAACTAAAATTAAAGCCAAGAGATTAAATAAACCGTTAACAAACACTTAACAAGGTAGAAAGTCCGGAAAATATTGCGGCTGGAACAATTCTTTAAATGCGTATATTTCGCATACTGGTTAACGAACCGGGATGATTCTTTTTTTGTTTGTAAGATATTTTTCAATCCTATCTTTATTGTATTTACACCTTTGTTGTTAACCTACTATTTGTCAAAAAGTTATAAGCAAAAGTAAAATAAAAATAACAATTAAATGTACATTTATTAATATTGTGGGATGAATAGTAGGTTAACAACAAAAGTGTAAATACAAAAAAGATAGGCTTGAAAAATATTTTACAAACAAAAAAAGAATCATCCCGGTTCGTTAGCTAGTATGCGAAATATACGCATTTAAAGAATTGTTCCAGCCGCAATATTTTCCGGACTTTCTACCTTGTTAAGTGTTTGTTAACGGTTTATTTAATCTCTTGGCTTTAATTTTAGTTTCAAACATTAATTGTTTGGTATCGTTGGAAAGGGCATAAAATTATCTACAACTTTTGTAATGGGTAGTTATTTCATTCTATAAGCGTTTAACAAGTTATGAGGAAAAATTCAAAAACAATGATATTAAAAACCACGTTTTTTAATATAGTGAGATAAATATTAAGTTGACAGCAAAAGTGTAAATACAGAAAAGATAGGCTTAAAAATTATCTTTCAAACAAAAAAAGAATCATCCCGATCCGTTAAACGGTATGCGAACTATACGCATTTAAGAATTGCCCTAGCCGCCATTTTGATGACGTCATAGCTGGAAAACGAAACAGGCGCGGACTTGACACCCGAGTGGAAAACACTTCCTAAGACACCTATATTGAAATCCAAAAGCAAAATTCCCTATACACGACATGCACACAGAACCCTAGTCATGTCCAGGACTAATATTTCCCGGACCGTACACCACTTTCAGTGTTTTTTTTTACGGTTTATTCAATCTCTTTGCTTTAATTTTAGGTCTAATCACATATTGTTTGGTATCATTGGAAAGGGTATAGAATTATCTACAACTTTTACAACGGGTGGTATTTGATTTTATCAGCGGTTAAGAAGTTATAAGCAAAACAATAAATATAATAACAATAAAAACGACGTTTTTCAATATTGTGCGGTGAATATTTAAGTTTACAACAAATGTGTAAATACAAAAAAGATAGTTTGTAAAAATATCTTTCAAACAAAAAAAGAATCATCCCGATCCGTTAAACGGTTTGCGAAATATACGAATTTAAAAATTGCCGAGCCGCCATCTTGATGACGTCATAGCTCGAAAACGTACCAGGTACGAACTTGACACCCGAGTGGAAAACACTTCCTAAGACACCTATATTGAAATGCAAAAGCAAAAATCTCTATACACGACATGCACACAGAACCCTAGTCAGGTCCTGGACTAAAAGTTGGATTCCGCAATGCAGAAGAGAAATAAAAACAATTGTTCATTGTTGTTTGACTTGTAAATAACTGCAAGTACAGCCTTTGAATGTTTCAACACCACCATTACCTCGTGAGCGAACACAGAGTTGTCCAGTTTTTAAAACAACCGGAATTGATCTGATGGGCCCACTCTTCTTAAACACTTGTGAAAAGTGCTGGATCATTATATTTACTTTTGCTGTGTACCGAGCTGTACACCTAGAGATCTTGACTTCTCTGAGTACGTCTGCCCTAATACAAGGGCTCAGACGCTTCATATCAAAAAGAGGAAGACCGAAGATTATACAATCAGATAATGGGACGAATTTTGTTGGACTTGACAATGCATTAGATAATTTAGATTGGATCAAAATTGAATACCCCCGCCACAGCAAACCTGCAGACTAAGCGAATTTCCATTAACCTGATTGGATTTACACTAAAACGCCTCCATAAAAATATCACATTTATTTCCTATTTAAATAGAATTAGTTTAACGAGTACTTAGGTTTGCTGCAACAGGGAGGGTAAAAGTGTGTTTTTTTTTCGTAAAATGTTAATAGTTTAGTAAGAAATGTTTAGTTTAGTTGAGTTATCGCGCTAACGGACACATATATATATAAATGAATTTGAACGGATCGTATTTTTACCTCTAGGGACCTCAAAACGAAGAAGTAAATCGGTCCCGGGTCCAGGTCTTACCACGAGTACTACGGTAATAGCTCTTTCCCTATATGGGAAATTCGCTAAAAGCAATTCAGGATTCAGTGAATAAAGTGAAAATTTAATGCTCCCGCTGCATGGTGGGAGGATATTGGGAGCGGTTAATCAGGTGTTAAAGGACCACCTTAAGAAAAATCCAGGACGAGCATCATTGTGTTACGAAGAACTGATGACGTCAGTATGAGAGTGTAAGTGTCTTATGAACAGCCGTCCCTTAACTTATGTCAGTGACAACTCAAATTAACTTACTATCCTCAGCCACGCAAAAACGCTTATTCTCCTCTGAAAGCAATCATGGCACCCATCTTGCCCAGACTTTTTTCACACCCAGTTTTTTATGTACTGTACCTTGTGATGCACACACCTTTGGCCTCAACTATTTCACACACTTTAATTTTCTGCAATTTAAAACCATATCATGGATTTCATCAATCATTTTCATCAATCTTTCGGTATGAAACCTAACAAATGTAAATGTTTAATAACCGCTCGGAACTTGATTTTTCTTTTATTCCAAATTCCCCAAGGTTTGTTTACAAAATCAACATATGATTCTGATGGGATTTGACAGAAACTTTATCAGCTGTTTATTAAATAGTGAAGTTGGCTGTAAACAATCCATTTGCAATACTATGAGCAAGGACTTTTTGAACCAACCTTCTATTTTTAAGATGTTTCATGCCAGTAGCCAGCTAGTGACAAACTTACCAGTGTGGAGGGAGACATGTCCTCAGAGTAAGAAGTGGCTCGGGGGACATCAGTGAGACTCTGATACCCGATATAATCATGCTCCGTCTGCCGGAACTGACTGAACACCATCTCAGAAGTGTCCACAGTGTTCATGAAGTCAAGGTGTTCTACATGAGTGAAATCACATCAATTAAGAGATTAGGATTTGTACTATTTAAGTGTGTTTTAAGTAAAACTCAAGGTTATTAAAATAAGAAGTGTAACAAACAGTAGACCCCCTCTTAACCGACCCTAATCGGACCGGACCTAGGTCGGATAACTCAAAAGGTCGGATAACTCAAAAGGTCGGTTAAAACAAGCAGTCCCTAAAATCATAACATAATGAAGTGATATTCATTTAGAATTATATAATCATTATTTTGAAGTAATACTTGCATTATCTATAAAATAAACTACTCTTATGTTTTTCCTATTGATAGAAAAGTCACAAATAAACACAAAACACGGTTAAGTCAAATAGGCCTACTTTCAGTGTATATTATAGTACTAGGCAAGAGTCAATAAAAATTCCTATTTTAATATTTTTAGTACTGTAATGTGTTAATTGATGCTTTCCAAATCCATCTTAATACAGTACAGAACCTTTTATCGAAAATAAAGATACAAGCAACCATTTTGTTACAAGACAGAATGTTTATTTATAGCCTCTCACTGGAGGCTCGAGGCACAAAAACTATCTTCACTTTGGAGTTGTTACCCCCCTTCCCTGCCCTCCCACAAGTTACGTTGTTTGTTTACTCCAGCGATAAGATAATCAGTTCTCAAAATCGTAACGCACTTTACGATGTTATAAATTTGCCGCACAGATAACAAAACAGATGAGATGTGCTCGTGCTACGGATGATGATGACAAACTGACAATATGCTATTTTTTTTGTGATCAATACAAAATAACTTATTCTTAGTCATATCCTGTAGAGATAAGCGTATGGTTCAGTTCTCATCGCCCAGCGTGGGAGCGGAAATGCCGAGATTCCTAGAAAGTGGCGGTTAAACCGAACTGCTCTCAAAGCAAGGTAGGTTAAAACAAAACTGTATTATTTTACGATCGAAGATCCGATTATCGGTTAAGAGGAGGTCTACTGTATAAGGCTTTGACCAATACCTAGTAGACAATGAACAATAGTCTACTCTTAATTAATCTTTATTTTCATCATTTTTACAGTATGGAATAGAGCTTTGGGGCGTTACCTCTGATTCATATAAACTTTTTAAACTTAATAAAAGAATACTTAGAATTATGACCTTAAAACATTCTTGCAAACAACTTTTCAATAATAGGATCAACAATGTTGAAATGTTTATGTACTGTAGCCGTAGGCAAGTGTGGAAAGTTTCTCAAGTGCAGCAAAGGCAGTCTGCATTCATATTACACATTATATTTTTCCTTCAGTTAAATAAATTTAAATAATTAGTCATTCAAACACTGTACAGCATATTAGGTTAGGTTAGGTTAAATACAAACATTGAATGAAATTGGAAACGCTGCACCAGCTGATCGTAGTTGTAATATCTTTAGGTGTTGCCAACTTATTTTCAAGTATACAAGGATTACGTGCATAATAAAAGCACGCTGTTTTGTGTTGTTTGGTTAGAATACTGGTGTGCGACAAAGTAAAAACTGTGCCCCAAGGTAAGGCTTTCTGTACTATAATCTGTGCGTGCAAGGAAGCCCACTTTGTCGGGTGACTGTAGTAAAAATACATTTGTAATCACATGATGTAAACACATTTTATTCAATCCCAATGCATTTTAAATAGAATATATTTTAGTTATTTCTCATTTTCTGGTAGATTTGGACTTAACCTCTTATATTTCCCGACCTCAGGGACCAAGACCTTTAATTTGAGCCCACTCCCATAGTCTTGCGAGCTGTCAAACTCTCACAATTTTTTCTTTTTTAATCGCTTACAAAATTAATTAATTAAAAAGATTTTTTTACCACAACACACATTTGATCAAATTACTTGTACTACCCCACTTCAGTTACTGCAACTCATTAATCAATGACATGACTGTGACTCAGGCGCGTATGCTCCAGCGGTCTCAAAGTTACTGTTTGAGATTTGTCTATGGTCTGCGACATGTGGACTATGGAGCATATCACGCCTTACTACCTTGAGGCACACTCTGAAATGAAATTATCAAAGATTCATCAACATTTTGTCATTGCTTTTTTCAAATTTGGAAACTGGCTCCCCAAAATATTTCAAATCCGATTTTAAATTTGTATCTCAGGATAGCTCACGTATGTCTCGTCTTTCGTTCTTCTTCGATCATATTTTATACCTCATCATGTGACCACAGTTTATGACAGGGCTTTTGTTGTTACCACTTGCCGTCTGTGAAACAATTATTGTGGCCTACCCCCCCTGCACATTAAAATCGTAACATTCCCGGTTTGTGGCGGCACTGAAAAAGCTCTACTTTGAGCAGATGGTCTTGGCTGGCGTGTCCTAGGGCTTCTGTTTCTTTGCGCCATTGCTGATGCGTGAATGTGAGAGTATTTTTTATATTTTTTCTGAGAAATGTACTTAAATTGTTAAATATGGAAAAGTTTAATTAGATTAAGTAATCCCATTATATTCTTATTTCAATATACTGGGTGTCTGTGAACTCTCTCGAAAAACTTCACAGGATTGTTCCTTGGGTTAATACAAGAATATTTTACATCATAAACATGGGTCGCCGGAGCCTTGTTTTCTGGCTGTTTGTCTGTATGTGATTCTCAAAATGAATCCATAACTTTTTGAAAAATCGCTCACCATGTTATCAAATGTGCCAAGTCACATCGCACTACTGCACGCCCCCGTGTGTCCGCCACGTCTGCCTGCTCAGCGATTTTTTTAGACTACCCCGGCGGGAGTTTTGTCTGGCGCATGCTCAAAGGGGCATCTTGAATGGCCAAGCTATAAAGTTTAAAAGTAATATAGATTAATACAGTTTGAAAGTATATTTATCATGTATCTTTTGTTTGATGATGTATGTTGTTTTGTATTATCTTCGTATGATGTTAATCACCAGAAAAAATAATTTTTGTTTACCATGCAAAAATAATGCTTTTAGTAAAACTTTATTGTTTCTTATCAAATTTTTTATATTGTCAATGTAAACAAACAATTTTTTATTGTTTCATCAACTGTTTCAACTTGCAACAACCAAAACTGTACAATCAATGTAAACTTGAACATTAAATATTTTTTTTTTTTTTTTTTTTTTTTTTTTTTTAGGGTGAGGAGGGAAAATGCTTTTACGCACACAGGTAGCCAGCCTGTAGTGTGATACTCCTGAGTTTATCACAGACTACTCACTAAAAAACCCCCTCTACTCTGTTGGACACAGACCTGGAATTGTTTGTCACATTACTTCAAGTCAGGCCAACATGTGACCTAAGCCCACAGGGCTCGCACCGTTTCTGGCATTATTTATTTTTTGACCTACACCGCATCCCGGTCGAGGTCAAGCTTCTTGGCGCGGAGAACACCCTGGATGTAAAGTGACACACAGGTCCAATTGTCCTCACCCTCCATCATCATCGGTATGACCGTGTCCACCGACAGCAGTCCTACGAACTGTTGAGCCTCTAGGCGGGGCCTTTCCCAATGCTGGCAGTGGAAGAAAGTGTGTTCCACGTCATCGGGAATGCCTGGGCAGTATATGCAATCGGGTGACACGGCTTTGCCCATCCTGAACAAGTACGACCGGAAAAAGCCGTGACCCGTCAGAAATTGGGTGAGGTAGAAGTTCACCTCTCCGCACCGCCGATTAACCCAAGGTTGGACCTGTTGTATCAGTCGCCTGGTCCAGAGCCCCCTTGTCTCCTGTTCCCAGCTCTCCTGCCACAGCTGGAAGGTCCGGGTGCGTTCCTCAATTCTTGCCTGGTCCTCCCCACGGCGCTGATAAATTGCCTTCCTCTCCGCCGCCAAAAGTTTGACGGGGATGACTCCAGCAACCACCAGGACGGCGGGTTCGGACACTGTTCGATAGGCAGATGCTACCCTTAGTGCTGCCTGACGCTGCACTCGGGCGAGCCGCATCCTATATACCTCCTTATTGAGAGCGTCTGCCCAGACTTCCGCACCGTACAGGAGCACGGACTGGACCGCAGACATCAACAGCCTTCTGCGGCTGGACCGTGGACCTCCGACATTGGCCATTAACCGACTAACGGAAGAAACCATTTTAGCGGCCTTGTCCGCCGTACGGGTGATCTGGTCTCGCCAGCTGAGCTTGCTGTCCACCATGACCCCAAGGTACTTTGCGGCACGAGTGGTTTGGACTTCAACGTTCCCCACCATCAAAGGCACGATGGTGTCAATCCTCTTTTTAGTCAGAATCACAATCTCAGTTTTGCTCAGAGCGAGCGAGAGACCATGTTCTGCCATCCATGCGTTAATGGTTCGCATGACTCGATTAAGTTTCAGCTGGGCAAGCTCAATGCTACGTGCAGCTATTAAAGCCGCAACGTCATCTGCATACCCAACTAGGACAGTTTCCTCAGGCATCTCGGATCTCAAGAGGCTGTCGTAGGCGACGTTCCAGAGGTCCGGGCCCAGTATGGATCCTTGAGCAGCACCAGAAGTTACATCCATCGTCCTGGAGCCTTCTGTAGTGTCGTAAATGATGAGGCTGTACCGGAGGTAGTCCTCTATCATGCGCATGAGGTATGCCGGGACGTGGAAAGTGTTCTCCAGTGCGTCCAGCATATCGCACCACCTCGCGGAATTAAATGCGTTTCGCACATCAAGTGTTACAAGCAGCACAACCCGACGAGAATAGTTGTTAAACTCCTCAGCTCTCATTACGGCTCGCTTTACCTCCTCAATAGCGTCAACCGTTGACCGTCCCTTCCTGAAGCCGTACTGACGAGGGGATAGATTCCCTGCAGCAACCACGGCTGAATTCAGTCGGGAACGGATCAACTTTTCCAAGACTTTCCCAGCAGTGTCCAACATACAGAGAGGTCTGTAAGAGGAGGGTAGGTCTGGGTTTCCTTTTCCCTTCCCCACGAGCACAAGCCTAGCTGTTTTCCAGCAGAAGGGAAACTTCCCCTCGGCCAGACAGGCATTGTACGTGCTCAAAAGGATTTGTGGGTTTATTGAAAAGA